TTGATTTATGAACGTGTTATGCCGGGAGGCATAATCTCAGTTTGGGTGAAGGGATGTGTCATGAATTTGTTTTCGCGTATCTGTTGACCGACTTAATTAGTTGATTACGAGTGAATTGCTGTGTTATGTCTGTCATCGTTTAGGCCTACTTGAAGTTTTGGACGAAACTTGGCTCAGTGATTTGGAACTAATTACGAGATAACCGTCGCTATTCTGACTACGATTTCTGACAGTTGGTATCCGTAGTTATTAATGTAGTGAACGATTAATCAAAAGATATGACGTGTCCAGTACTTAGTGTGATTGGCTTTATGATTGAAGGTTACGCCCTAGAGTCTTTTTACTGTTTTGTAATTGGTTAGAGTTTTGAAAATGAATAAAGTTGTTTTTAGTTGGTCTTGGCGAGTACAGCACGAGAGACGAAGTCTAAGAGTCCAGTCCTGGAGAGTCTTGGACAGAGTCTTGAGTCAGCCTTGCGATAGTCTTGGGGATTTTTCCCCAGGGCGCCGTGTCTTATAGAGTGCTCGAAAGACCGACTAAGACGAGAGTTGAAACGTATTTCGTTGTGTGTGTCTTATTTGACTGTAAAGTATAAGTGACTTTCCCGATCCCGTACCTCAAGGGGACGAGATATAGAGACAGAGACGAGATTCCCCCTGGCACGTGTGGAGACCCCAGAGGCCGAAGAATTACCCCCTGATACTTGCCCCACCTCTTAATTTTGATAGCTTCTCTTAATTTCATCAAAAGTGAAGCGTAATAGGCTCCTGTAATTGTGGTACCCTTTGCCAGGAAATCTGTCATCACTACTTCGTTCTGGTCCCAGAAGACTGTGAGCATGACCTTGCCAGCGAAGAGCACCCTTGCCTACTTTGGAGGTGGTGAGTCCAAGTGCTTCCACTGCATTGACTGGGCTTTGGTCTCTAGATCATAGTGATGGAGTGCTTCCACTGCACTGACTGGGCTTTGGTCTCTAGATCATAGTGATGGACCCAAGTTGCATCCTGTGTAATCAGTCTTTTGAAAAACTTTGACTCATCTTCTTGGCAACCGATGACAATCCCAAGTATATAGAGAGTTTTGAGTTGGTCTTGGCAAGTACTCCACGAGAGACGCAGTCGAGGGTCCAGTCCTGGAGAGTCTTGGGTCAGCCTTGCGATAGTCTTGGGGACTTTTCCCCAGGGCGCTGTGTCTTATAGAGTGCTCGATTGACCGACTAAGACGAAAGTTGAAACGTATTTCGTTGTGTGTGTCTTATTTGACTGTAAAGTTAAAGTGACCTTCCCGATCCCGCACCTCAAGGGGACGCGATATAGAGACGAGACGAGATTCCCCCCTGACACGTGTGGAGAACCCAGAGAGAAGAATTCCCCCCTGATATTTCTACCAAAAGATAGCCCAACCCACCTTTTCGTTCTCATAAGCTCGCAGAAACAGTCTGTACTGGTGCTTGTCTCCGTCTTCCTCAGGCAACGCACCGAGGTCGTCCATTTCAATCGGACGTTTGTATCCCAGGGCTAGCAACCAATGCAACCACTGGAATGTCACTCTTGAGATAAGACTGGTATATTTATGCAAATAAAGAAAGTTTTTCTTTCGCAGATTGCGTGGAATTTCATCTTTTACGTGACCACAGCCAAGTATCTATATACAAAAATAAACAATATTATAGGAGGCACAAACTTTTGCCATGTATCTTCACAAATAGTTATACCCTACCAGTATCGCCCCCTCGTTTATGTTTGCTTATAACAAATCACCTTTATCATATTGACATAAGCTTCCAGTTTCTTGTGAAAAACATCAAATTTATTATTCAACCTACTAAACTGCGCCCCGGTGTTGACACGACCCCGTGTTATTATGAGTCTCGCTGTGTAAACACGGTACACGGCAAGAATAGCAGCATAATGTGCTACACAATTACAATTTCGAGAAAATGAACATGCAAGTGAGTTAACACCCTAAACTAAGGGGTCACTGACTCCCTATGCATTCGTAAAAACACGGTCTTTCCCCCAGACCAGCTGGCTCCAATATGTTTATATCATAGCAATATTAATTAAAGGCTTGGCCGATTGTGACAATTTGCGGTGACGTACCTACCTTTATTTTAATAATGTAGATTTCAAGAATTATATAGAACAGGTAGATAACCAGTAGTAGGACGGAGATATCAAAACGTAGAACTTCTAAACCAGTTGCTCCTTGGTAATCCAAGTTGATTAGAGTGATAACCTGGCCACCAATTAACAGAATCCAATATAGCAGTAATAACCAGACTAGATGTGGTCGATTCCAATATTCCATGTGATGGTAATAGACTAGGAATATAAACCCGTTAAGAAATGCCAAAGCTTGTGGTATATACAGGTGAGGCTGTGTCGGTCCATCTCTCGATAAATCTGTTAGAATTCCCTCTCCTAGAGCGCACAACAGAACAAACCAGAGAACAAAAGATAGAATCCATCGCACATCGTGCCCCGGGTAAGGTATTAAGGTTTTGGAGACATATTGACGTAAGTTTGTGAAACAAGACAATACTATGAGAACTAAGAACGCCACGAGCAGGTATACTAAGTTAATCGCCGCATTGACGAGGTCAACAAAACATGCACTTTGAATGCAACTTCCGGAATTCAATGTCGATTCAATTACGTCGTCCGTTTTGTTTGTTCCTCCACAGAACCAACCAAAGTTTGGGTTGTTTTCGAGAGACATCGAGATGTGACAAAGAGGTTCAGCGATGATCCAAGTGAACACAAGGCCGGGTGGATGGATTGCACAAGCATCTAGCAATCGGCGGGTTGCTTTAATCACCAGGGCCCTACAATGACCTCGACGCAATGATCCCGGCAGTATTTTCATGCGAGGTCAATTTCGGATTGTCAATCATAATTGTGATTAACCAATCACAATCGTGATTGTGCGTTTGAAAACGCCCAATAACAATCATGATTGACAATCACAACGATCACGCCCTCGATCCTGATTAGCGTGATTACAAGATGGCCGACAATAATATTTCCCCGTGTTGGAAGCACCGTAGAAAACAACAGTTTTACGTATTTCAAGATAGATTTTGATTTTTACAGTGAACTTTTTAAGAAAGGCAAGTAGCATGATACTTTTTTCATTTAAAAAATCGTAAATTATATTTTTATTTTACAAAGCGACCGACTTTTGCAATTTTTTTTTTGTGCGTCGTCCCTATAAAATTAAAATCTATCTATTATATTATAAATGCGACATATTGGCATTTAGGGAATGCCGTGATTTTTTATCAAGGCTGAATAATATTAGTTTCAGTCACAATTTTTTAGCTCCGTTGTCCACAGCTGTTCATATTACTGATTGTCCACCATTGTCCGACGTCGTCGTCATCAACTTTACAATTTCAACTTCATCTCAAATTCTCTATTTTTGGTGAATATTTTGTCATTTTTGGTAAAAAGTGATATTTTCGACTCCTTGTTAAAAACCGTAACTCCGATTGCTTTGATATTGCATATATAGGTACTAGATTTTGAGCTCTCTCAGAATTGTTCATTTTGTGATGATATCTTCAATTCTCTATTTTCGGTGAATATTTTTGTCATTTTTGGTAAAAAGTGATATTTTCGACTTCTTGTTAAAAACCGTAAGTCCGATTGCTTTGATATTGCATATATAAGTACTACATGTTGACCTCTCTCAGATTGTTCATTTTGTGATGATATCTTAATTCTTTAATTCTCTAATTTTGGTGAATATTTTTGTAATTTTTGTTAAAAAGTGATATTTTTGACTTTTTGTTGAAAACTAAGTCTGATTGATTGCTATATATATATATATATATAGGTAACTACAGGTTAGACCTTTCTCAAATTTGTTCATTTTGTGATGATATCTTCAATTTTGGTGAATATTTTGTCATTTTTGGTAAAAAGTGTGCCTTGCTAACAGCGAAATGTAATTAGAAGATATGAATTATTATTAACAAATTTCAACCCAAAATTATTGGACCTGTCTATTGTCTTAGAGCAATTATGTAGCAAATTTTATTCAAATGTGATCATCAGTAATTGAGATATCAGTGTTAATTAATTATGTTAATTAGGTGATTAATAAGCTTAAATATTTACCAAAAACTAATTGGGTCTCTGCATAGTCCTAGGTTCATTGAAATGTGATGATGAGTACTCTTTAAAAGTTTCATTAAAAATCCAATTAGTGGTTCTTTATATATCAGTGGAACATTCATGGAAAAAATTAACTATTTATGCAAATTAGGTAATTAATACCCACAATTATTTATCCTAATACTAATCAGGTCTCTGCATAGTCCTAGAAGATCTATGTAGCAAGTCTCATGGAAATATGATGATTAGTACTTGAAATATCAAAAGCTGAAAATTAATTAATTATACAAATTAGGTAATTAATATGTACTAATATTAGCCTAAAAACTATCAGGTCCATGCAGTGTCCTGACATCTATGTACCAAGTTTCATTGAAATGTGATGATTACTACTTGAAATATCAAAAGCTGAAAATTAATTAAGTATGCAAATTCGGTAATTAATATGTACTGATATTACCCTAAAAACTATCAGGTCTGTGCAGTGTCCTATGACATCCATGTACCAAGTTTTATTGAAATGTGATGATTACTACTTGAAATATCAGAAAATGAAAATTAATTAATTATGCAAATTAGGCAATTAATATGTACTGATATTACCCTAAAACCTGTCAAGTTTGTGCAGTGTCCTGTGACATCTATGCACAAAGTTTTATTGAAATGAGGTGATTAGTACTTGAGATATCAGTGGAAAAGCCAAAAATTGATTAATCATTATGCAAACTAGGTAATTATATTGCACAGATTTTTACCCAAAACTAATCAAATTTGCGCATTAGTTCAGAGCATCTATGTGCCAAGTTTTATCAAAATCATCAAAATTAGTGGTTCTTTAGATATCAGTGGAACAGTCACGAAACAGCTAAAAATCAGCTAATTATCATGCAAATTAGGTCATTAATATGCATGGATTTTTACCAAAACCTAATCAAATCTGCGCGTTGGCCCAGAGCATCTATGCACCAAGTTTCATCAAAAATTAATGTATGGTTCTTGAGATATCAGTGGAACAGACGGAGACACATACACTCACACATACAGACAAACACACTAACTGCAAAGACTCCCATTGTGTGCTTCGCACACGGTAGTCAATAAAAAATACATGAATATATAGAGGAGGGCTACACATTTTTCATTTTTTCTAAAGGGGGGACCCTCTTTTACAAAATGAATAAAGGGGCCATTGATTTTTTTGAAAAAATGCAGAGAATTGACCGATCCCCCCCCCTTAGGAATAATAAATGGTCATTCCCTTAGTTGTATCGCTTTACCGATATGCAACGCATACAAATGCGCTCCTGGCAGTTTAACACGAAGATAAAAATACCTTACTAGTCGGTGACATTCCTTGAAATTATACATTTTCAATTCATTCTTGAAAAATGGTATTTGTTACGAATATTTCATGTACATGTCGTGTTTGTTAATTTGTATTCAATGATGATAGTACCATCGACACAACTTGGAACTTCCGCAGTACAAAACTGCATGCGATGAAAACACCCTACTAGCCGGCAAAGTACATTTAAAAATTATGCACGCCAAATACTAATTGCTTAAAGCATTATATTATTTATTTATTTCATCGTTATGTGTATGAAATGTGTGGCGAAATGAATAAATCAAAACAACTCTGCACCTTGAATTTCTTGTTGATTTTTATTTATTACTTAAAGAAAACTAGAATTTAGACTGGTCCTCCGGCATCAAGACTATTTAACAACTGCACTGATATTTACATATTTTTATTTGATTAAATATATGCATTATTCAGTTGTGTTCACTGTTGGCCACTATAAGGTCATATAGTTGATACTGTACATGGGCTGTGATTTTAAAAGTTATAAGACCTGCTTGAATGTTACTTATCCAAAGTAAAAACAAAATATTTTAAATTCTGTTAAATATTATTTTTGAAAATGAGAAACATATACCATCTTCCATTATAATATGTATATTTTGATGATTTAAAGCGAAATGTTTGTCATCTTGAATAATATATCTTTTCACTCGAAGAAGCAAACCTAGTCAGCAGAATATTCTCAAACTTTTCAGCAGTAAATTTGTAGGCTTAGACATCCCTTTAGATTGCGATCATTTCGGTCACTATGAAAATTAATTTTAAAGATAAATGAAAGTTGCCCTCTAAAACAAAGTTGGACAAGTGGTTAAAATATTAAGGGTTGACCATTTGAAATAGTAGGGGTATCTATTCATGAACCATGGTAGTTATGTATTTTTTTTACACTTGCTTTTTATTCAATATAGATAAAATTTGCTCATTGTTTACGACAAAGATTTCTTTATTTAATTTGGTAAGCAAAATTTTGCTAACTTGAAACAGATAAGAGCCTACAATTTGAACTGTGGGGGCAGGTAGAATATTCACCTACCCCCAAATGACATGGTTACAATCAAGAAAGAGTATAAATAAATTACAAATTAATAATGAATTATTAATACTTTTATACTGAGTGCTAGTAAACTGCCAGCATCATGATTAGTTATTAATGCAAGTATTAATATAAATTAAATATTGAGATTGCAAGGTAAATTTAAACATGATTTCAATAATTACAAAATCCTTAAAATATTTTTTTTTATTTTAATTATAGACAAGGATAATGCCATTGACATAATTAAATTGCTGCATCTTGAAGTAACTGGTATGGATGTGATTCAGGTATCTGTTGAAAAACCACCATCAACCACAACCAGTCAACAATAAACCTCAGAGTATACTGTAGATGTTGCTATACCAACTATAGCCCATGATGCTATATCTAAGCCATCAGCATCTGCAAGTGACCCGGGATTGTTAACTGTAGGTCGCAATGTGTGGTGCAGGGAAGCAATTGTATTGCTTCTATCTTTATACAAAAACAACATCAGCAAAATGAAAGATCCAAAAATCAAGAATAAATCTGTATTCCGGGAAATTTCTTTTGCTTTGCAACAGAAAGGTCACCACTATGTAGCTGATTCATTTGAGAGAAAGTTTCTCAATCTTAAGGCAGCATTCACATCTACAGTGGATCACAACAACACCACTGGCAATAATCGGAAGACTTGCCCTTATTATGATGAGTTTTATGGCACGAGTCACAGCGCCCATCCTCTAGTAACATATTCAAACCGTCAAGGTTCCCGACACCGTGAGGAAGGACCTCTGACCACGAGTCATCAGCAAACTCCCATAATGTAGATGTGGATACTGTCCCTGACTCACAACAAAAAATAGCAAAAAAAAAGAAGACGAAATTCAACATCAGAGTCTCTGGTTGCTGCTTTTGAAGACTATAGAAATGAGAGACAGGCAAGAGATGATGAGTAGGAGGCCATGGAATGGTGGCATGCTGACAACATGCCCACAATGAACAGATTTCTCGATATATTTGAGAAGGTTGCAAATAAAAATAATTATTTAGTGTGATGTAAATGTATATTTATGCTTCATTTTTTTTCTATATATCAAATTGACTTGTAAGGCATGAAACTAATTAATGCAAATTAAAAAAGTTATACCAGACATGAACATGTAAGAAATCAACTACTGAGTATTATGACCTTCATTTTGAATTGTTGTACTTTTTTTACAAATTTTATCAAACGGAGGTGTACATATTTGTATACCGTAAAAACTCGATTAATTCGCGGTCTCTATTAATTCGCGCACCCATTTTATTTTCGAACGCTAATTTTTAAATGTATCCTTTTAATTCGCGGCGTTCAAAAACATGTTTAAAATTGTATCCTATTAATTCGCGGGCCAGAATAAAGTGAATAACTCAGAATATATTGCATGAAGACATTAAAAATATACATTTTGTTTGAGTTTTTATGTTACCAGTACTCGGTGTAGCCGCACAGCCTTTCAGTTAGCAAGCAGTTTAGGTTCGGTAAAGATTTGACCTGAAAAAAATCATTCCCTCACGACACTACAGATGTTGGGCACGATTATTATTTAGTCGATAAAAATCCATCGGTCAGCACATCGATTACGAATTTCCGTGATGGAAAGCTTAGTACAGGGCTTTTTCGTCGCTGGTCTACAGGGTTGCTTCGACCATGTGTCCGCCATTATTCTATTACTAGTATGTCATTAGGCTGGCGCAGTCGGGGCGATTAATTTGTTTTTGTAGTTTAAATAAAATTAAAAAAAATCGCGAAATGGAGGTGTTAGCGCGAAACGTGTTTCGTCGGTAGAGGGCGAGATGTATTTTGTTGAGAACATTCATGACATTTTAGTGCAGAACTCATTAAAAAATGCACACCTTTTAAAATAATAATAAAAGTTTACTAAATGTGGTTCCAACATATGCAAATTTTCACACAAAACATTTTTCAGTCAACACCATACCAGGCAAAGTCAACATAATTTCCCCATCAACAAATCACTTTGTAATTTCCTCCATCCGTTGACATTGACCACTAAGAGGCCGGAACCATACCTATTTTAAGACTTCACTGCTTAAAATTGTTTCTCTATCTCAACAACACACTGAAACATTTCTGTCTGCTGCTTTAAACTCAAGTTTGTAGCGGGAAATTATGGCCAGTAAGCCCATGGCTTGTATCTCATTAAGACAAGGAAATGTGAATTGCACGCGGTCGTTGATTGGACACTTCATTCATTGGCACTGCCATTTCTTTCGCCAGTGTTTAAATATTTTTAACCCTGGGAACTGGCGCTTTTTGTTGATCAACCTACTTTTATTGACTGTTATGTCTGAAAGATTTCGAGCTACAGGTGCTGAAGACTGAACATATAGTAGGATCCTTTCCTGAATCCTTGGTTTAAAAAACGGACTACCCTATTAGGCGCTACACGAAGACACTGGACGCTCCGTAGTGTTAGCTATCACACTCACTAAAACAAAACCAACAACTGGTTTATAACCTGGTGAGGGCAGTATAACAGGAAGATAGCAAAGCACGTTTCATTCGAAGATTTACCATATCTGGGAGTAGATAAATAGGTCTATAATTATTAAATTTGTTCTTCGTTCGTCGATCCATAACCAGTATACTAACTGCATATTTATGTACACTGTGTCTGTCATTATGGTGGCCCTTCTTAATTATAAACAAAGAGGACGTAACAAGAGATTGAGTTTAACAAATGCTGGATTTTTTTTTTTTTTTTTTTTGCTACTGGATAATTTCAAAATCCGTAGTTAAACAATACTGCGTTTTAGATCATATAAGGATGCCTTAAATCATTTTATTAGTATTAATAGACAGACTAAGATGTCTGACAAATGCAATTACCACAGTCGCATAACAGTTGTAAAAACACTTTTGGACGAATTTACAAACTCGGGAATCTTATTTCGGATCATATTTATAAACCCAGACCCTAGCAATATATAGCATATCGTCGAAGCGTAAAAGTATGATCCAGACACCAGGCAGTATCTACCGCCATCTATGGCAGAAAATAGAACATATGAAATGGTGAAATTCAGCAATACCTGTAAACATAGAATATGGCATGCTGGAAAATTAGGGGACGAGTCTGGTCGGAAAAATATGTATATATGTCTTATTTACCCGGCGAAAAAATATAATAAGAAAAGTAACGTAGTTTGCTTGCACACAACAACATATGAAAACAAACAAATAATGTTTCACTTTTTCTACCGGTATAGAGTTGGGTTCGTGCCAGATATTGGTACATTCGTCATAGAACACTGTGGACTATAGAAATAAACGTAATCACTAACATATAATAGTCAATATTATTTTTTTATTACTTATAATGTGACTTTATGATGGCACATCAAATACATTATTATTTACAATGCTTTATCCAATAAGAATATAAACACTCGTCCATCTTTTAAAAGTTCATGATTGCCTTGTCTTTCCCTGGTCCTATTTATGTAAGTTCGGTCGATACACTGATAAAAGACACTATTAAAATAGTGCCCTCCGAATTCTCGGGACTTGAATCCGACCGTGACCTACTCGATATATTAAGTTTATGCATAATCAGCAATGCTTGGAAGAGTCTCGGCGCGTTGGTTGTACCAGGGAGGTAGTCTGTTGATCTGAAGAGGAGGCAGTCTGTGTTCTCGTGCGGGGACGGGTTGCGGCATGTTGTGGGGTTGATGTAAATAATCATTTTCAACCTTATTGTTACCGTCATCTTCTTGTGAGTTTCTTCTGTTAATACTGATTGTTTTAATGGAAGTTTCTCGTCCTTTTGCACGACGATATAGTGAAGCGACTTTCCTTTTCAGAGTCTTCCGTTTTTGACGCGTTTGTGGGTTGCCCGAACGGTCTGGACTTGTGTCTGGGGTTTTACTAACTGCACAGTCGTCGGACTTTTCGGGTTCATCCTTTCCAATTCTGTTGATATTGATTGTCTTAACGACAGTTTCTCGACCCCTTGCACGACGATATAGAGAAGTGACTTTCCTTTTTAGAGTCTTCCGTTTTTGACGCTTGTGTGAGTTGTCGGAAATGCAGTCTGGACTTGTATCTTGGGTATTGCCAATTATTGCACAGTCACCGGACTCTTGTATGTCGTTCTTTATTCTGTTGATATTAATTGTTTTAACGACAGTTTCTTGTCCTCTAGTACGACGATAGAGAGAAGTGACCCTTCTTTTTAGACTCTTCTTTTTGCGTTTTTGACGAGGTCTTGGTGAGTAGTCGGAACCGGGATCGGAAACGTGACCGAAATCCCGATTTTCATAAAACGCCCGCACTGGTCTCAAAGGCATAGCAGAGGAATTGGGACGGCAAGGCTCTGGTCCAAGTTCAATTTCTTCATAACTGTCATACCTGGTTAAGAGCGGCGAGGGATTTCTGGCGGAATGAACATCTTCCGAACAGCTATCGACATCTTCTACATCTCTAGAATCAAATTCATCGATGTCAACATTTTTGTTGTCAATCACTTGAACTTTAGTCTCACGTCCTGTTATCCGACGAAACTTTGAAACCATTTTTGATTTCAAACTCTTCTTCGTCGACTTCGGGGAAGAATCGGCGCATTCCAGAGACGCGCCACGCGTACTGGAAGTCGGACTCGGGCTTGTCATCTTGGGTTCACGATGTCTTACCTCACGTTCGGGACTGAGTGTACGTGCCTGACAACAAAACATTACTTCTGAATTACGTACGTTTTAGTAGCAAATGCACAGAATGACTCCTCCACGGCTCGTAACAGTTTGTCGAATGACTCTCTCTGGACTTGATGCTTTGTTTTTTCAACGTCGCCATGAGCAACGTATGTGACGTAAGGCGCGTCACGAAGTCCAAGAGCGCCAGATGCGTTGTGTCGTCACGGAACGCGCTCTCCCAGAACGGCGTAAAAAGAACGATCTGAAAGCGCGTGCCAGTCTAGTTTGGCGTTAGTGCGTCCTCTTGACAAGCACTCGCTCAATACATACCTG